CAGAAACTTCATAGTATTTGGTTTATTTTATGGGCCAGGTTGTGTCTGGTGTCTATCCCCATATATACAAAAGGCTTGGAGACCACAAAGTTCACCATTTTAGTCTATTTTCTGTTGCTAAAAACACAGTAACACAGACTGGATTAATTATAGGGAAAAGAAGCTTATTTCAACTTACAGTTTTGGTACAAGGTCAAGGAGGGCCACTTGGTAACCTTGCTGGCAGTGCTAAATGGTGAGTGACAAGGAGCACATGTGTGTCCTGGTCTCTGTCCCTCTTTTTATAAAGTCACTAATATTCAATCCTGAGGATCCCACTCTGATAACCTTATATAATTCTCATTACTTCCCCAAGGCCCCACCATAATTGGATTTAATTTCCACCTCACAACGGAATTATGTTTCAACATGAGTTTCAGAGGGGATAAGTCATTTCTAACCACAGCAGCACCAAAGTCAAAATGGAACTTCTTCCTTGCACAGGGACCATGCTAATCTTCTCTGTATTGTTCTAATTTTAGTATATGTGCTGCTGAAGTGAGTGACAAATGGAGATTCTTGCAGGAAAGAATTAAGTGGACAATTACATTAGGTAGACAGTTGTGATCAGTATTTCCAGGTTTTTTTCTGTGTTTGTTTCTTTGTGCTGATAGGATACTTTCTATGCAGATTTTTTGTTTTATTTTTGTGAAATCAATTTTGTCAACGTTCTTTTATGACTCGATTCATTTCATATTTAGAATGATTTCCACATTTAAAAAAGTCAAACTTTTTATTTTGAGATAGTTTTAGAGCTGTCTGTAATTTTAAGAAGCAATATACAGGTATATTGCAAATCTTTTATCATTTCCTCCAAGGACAGAACAGATTGCAAAACTGTAGTTTAATATCAGAACTGGCACATTGGCACTTTTTCCATCATCAAGGACCCCTTATGGGTCCTTGAAACTCCCTGTTTCTAAGCCCTTAGAAACTCCCTGTTTCTAAGCCCTCTTTCACCCTTGCTAACCACAAAATTCTCCATTTCTAAAATTTTATCATTTGGAGAATGTTATAAAAATGAATCATGTAATATGTAATCTTTTGAGTTTAACCTTTTCTCACACAGAGTAATTGACTGAAGATCTATCTAATTATGTGTCCCAACAGCTTCTTTTCACTGTTCCACAGTATGGCGTAGCCCAGTTTGTTTAATCCTTGTCTGTTTCAGGTCACGGCATTGTTTTCAGTTTGAGGGCATTACAAATAAAATGGTTTTTGTGTTTAAGTTTCTCCAGAATAAATGCCAAAAGTACAATTGATGATGGTTTATATGGCAAGTACGACTGTTTTCCAGAATTGTTGAGCCATTTT